CCAAAGTAAATACCAGGGAGTGGGGGGAAGGGGAAACGAAAAGCGTCCAGTGTTAACTGGCAGTCTGGGTCCCTTTGTGAGAGCACCGATTTTTGTGACTTCTGGCTACAGTCTGCAAATGAAGATGCTGTGATATGGGTCCCTTTGTGAGAGCACCGGTTTTTGTGACTTCTGGTTACAGTCTGCAAATGAAGATGCTGTGATATTGCCACAGGGGGTGCATATGTGTGTGAGCATGCATATTGGTCTATTAAATATATCTCGGCAAATAGATACAGCAAATAAAGGATGCACGCTACACCAGTATAGCATTCCCGGCTGTGACTGGAAATCCCTCTCCCGTGATCCAAAGTGGAGTAGCAGACAGTGAAATTCACAAAGCTGTAAAGGGGCTCGTGGCTGGAGCGTGGCCCGCCCTGCCACCCCTAAAATCTGGGAGGTGAGCCCTCTCTGCCTGGAGCTTGACCTTTTACCCCAGATGCAGATTTCTTTGCCTCGGGCATGCCTGTAGCATCTTTTCTGTGAATGTGGATCTTGACATGGGAAAATATCCCGTTCTTCTATGTGCCTCATAATCAGGGGTGGTTTAGCAGGTGAAATAATAAAAGACAGCCATAGGCAAGAACAGAGGCGGAACCACTGTATGTAGTACTTTAAGACTAGCTACTACATTTTAATGGGAGATTTAATGGATCCGGTCCACTTCACATCATCCAAAATTCAGCTTTCTGGATGTCGGCCAGTCAGCTTGAAATGTCCACGGAAAGCTATTTTATGTGAAGCTAATTCAGCAGGTGCTTAACAACTCTAAAATATGCCCGTGTATGCCAACACAGTTGCCGAAGTGGAGATGGTGAGCGTTCAGCCGTGTACGGCTGAGAAACGGGATGACAGCTGTTCGACGGGCTCCCTGCTTGCTTCTTATTCTCTGATGAGTGACATCTTTCAGAGCATTTTGGACATACCCTTTCATTGAGCTCTCTTACTTTTGTGGCAAAAGATGGGAACCGTGTGCCAGAAAAAGCATCACGGAGGAGACAGGTTTTAGAAGGGGTGTAGTATAACAGTGGCGGCGCTGCAGGTTAAACTGCAGAAGCCTCTGTGCTGCAAGGTCAGAAGACCAAGCAGTTGTAAGATCGAATCCACGGGATGGAGGGAGCTCCCGTCACTTGTCCCAGCTCCCGCCAACCTAGCCGTTTGAAAGCATGTAAAAATGCGAGTCGATAAACAGGTGCCACCTCGGTGGGAAGGTCACGGCATTTCGTGTCTAGTCGCGCTGGCCATGTGACCACGGAAACTGTCTTCGGACAAACGCTGGCCCTACGGCCTGGAGATCGGGATGAGCACCGCGCCCTAGAGTCGGACACAACTGGACTCAATGTCAAGGGGAACCTTTAGCTAGTATAACGGTTAACATGCTAGGCTTTGGAGATCTGGGTCCAAGTCCCACTGCTTTGGAAAACTCTCTCAGTGCCCTTGGGCCCGCCATTCCCGCTCAGTCTGACCCACCTCACAAGGCTGTTGTGTGGCAAAAATAAACCCAAATAAAAACAGGAAGAGAAGTCATACGAGAGAAATATGAAAGCTAAATATAACTAATGAATAGAGTTCACCCATATTCGGTGATAAACTTGCTGGAGCTAACTCTGTTAGAAGCAGCCTGCTCAAGTTAATTCTCCTCATTCCTATTATTTCACATTGCTAAGGCTCAGCCTTGGTCAGCAGAGGCCGGTGGTGGCTCTTTATGCCAGTGGGTTTTTTTAAAAAAATTATTTAACTATAACATAAACATAAAATACATAAACCAAAATACAAATTCACTGTGTTCACCACCACCATAGACGGGACCTCTAGCAATAATCCTCTTCTTCCTCCTCCATCTTTCTTCTTCATCTTCTTCTGTTATTGTCCTCTTCTCCAGAACTGCATTGATTCTCAATTTGGAGCTCTCCCTTTTCCTCTTGCTGACACATATTCCCAAAATCTGCCCCAAATATCATAAAAATTATTCTTTTTCAACTCTCCTTTCTTAATGCCAGTTGTGCAGTGAGTCCCCTCCCGGCTTTCCGTCCAAACTTTGAAAGAGCTAGCCAGACAAGGGAACTCTACTTGAGGATTCGGATTCAGCATCTTAGGTAGGGCTTGTAGAGTTCGGATGAAAACCCCAAGTGGATTCACTGTACCCCTTCCTGTGACATTCGAGCTGTGCCATTCTTATGGGCTGTTGTTCAGAATGAGCTCTGTTCAGCCTGAGTACACGGGATGAAGGTAAGGGAATGTAAAGGAGGTTTCCATGGGAAGCAACTGGGTTAAATCCATGGTTCTTCCAAGGCAGTGGTGGGAGAAGTATGGCTAACCAGCGGTTATTAGACTCCAAATCATGGCAGCCCCATCTATCCCCAACCAGTCTTAGATGATGGGACTCATGGATGATAGAAGTTGTAGTCCATCATGATTATTGGCAAGAGGAGCATAGCATCCATACTCTAGCTCCCGAAGATCACGATTCCTGCCGTGCACAGCTCACACGGACCCAGGGTTCGAAACCAAGCCGCCAAAGACTCCAAAACCTGAACAAACCACTTTATTTGGACTACGATTCCCCAAATCCCCCAGTCTGTATGACTGTGCCAGCTGGAGCATATTGGTAGCTATGGCTGAAATTCTCCTTCCTTAGGTCAGAGGTCAACAAAGTTCAGCCCTCCAGATGTTGCAAATTCCACTATCCCCTCACCATGCTGACAGGCTGATGGGTCCTGTAGGCCCCCTGTAGCTGGAGAGCCGTACCTTGGATTCAGTGGGCGTGAAGGCCATTTCTAGGACTTGTACTCCAAAACAAGGGTAACTTCTCCAATGTTTGGAATCCCCTCCGAATGTATGTCACTGAGTCACCACCAATCTAATCGCCTGGTGTTAAATGAGAGTTAGGAGATCTTGAGAGTGAAAGAGGTCCGTGAGATCATTTAGCCCAACCCCCTAGTTCAACACAAGACCTATAGTGCAGGATGCAACTATGGCTCTTCAATGGATGGGCTCCAGACTCTGGTACCTCCAGGGAAGGAGAGCTTGCCACTATAGAACAGGTTATCACATCTTCTTTCGTTTTTCTGAAGCTCACGCCCATATCATGATTTATTCCTGAGCAAAGGCCTTCTCGTCCTGGTTACAAACATGTCCTTCCCGCCAGAGATGGCAGGACTTTCCATCAAGTTGGGTTTAAGTCAAACCGGTGACTCAACTTAGACTTGACTCGGGGCGTGGACTTCATAACTTGGACTCAACTCCGAATCCACACACACACCCCTTTCTCTGGGGGGGGGGAAGCTTGTTTTTAATAGGGACTTGGGACTCGGGACTTGGAACCAAAGACTCCGACTTGGGACTTGGAGCCAAAGATTTGCCAACATCCGTCGTCTCTGCCATGGGCTTTAAGATTTCCACCAAACCTTTAAGCCTCTTCCCTGCACACGTGGAGGAAAATCCCATCTTTTTTACCGTCTACCAGATCCGCAGAGTGCTTTTAAAGAGACTGTGAAGGGGTAATAATTCAGCAGTCAGGAACGACACAGTCCCGAAAGAAATTGAATGGTCTTTTATTGCTAATGAGAGCCGAGCACGCAGAGCAGGTCAGAACATCCCGGAGTGCGGGTCAAATCCGACAGAGGTGTCATTGCGCCGAGCGAGGGTATGAATGTGGCGTGCATGCAGGCTGCCAATTTAGATCTGGACCCAAGCGTCTGTCTCCGTGATCCTCACTCTATCCCGAAAGAGGCTGCAATTGTTCAACGGGGTAGGGGTGGCGGTTTATGGCCCCCGGGGTGGGTGGGACCCGAGGCCCTTTTGAAGGGGGGGGCTACAGACTGGAAACCATTCGTCACGCACCCCCTTACAAGATTTGTTATGCAAGTTATACTTTCCCGGTTTGACTGTTATTTCTTTCATGTCGGGTTTATGGCTGTGGCCAAAAAATCAACACAAACACACAACAAGGTTGAGAATGGCTGGTCTAGCCGATAGACTTCTCCCGAATCTTCCATTGTGTAGTTGTCGTTGCAAGAAAGGCCAGGAGGATGAGCTGTAAAGAAGGAGGCATACCTGTTTGTGGCCACCGCGGCCAGGAAGTGGCCGGGAATCCATGTTAGGAGGAATGGTCTAAAATCCACAAGATGCTTTTGCATCCTGTGGGTCTCGGACCATCCGTCGCAACGTGGATTCACGGCTCTCGTTTTGTGTCATTTTGTTGTTGGGTTGGTTCGGTTGGTTTCAAATTGTCGGCTGCCCTCTGAGTTTTGAAGCAAGCCCCTTCTTGTAGGTGAGAGCAAGAGGAGAATTTCTGATCTGCCCTTACCTGTCCAGCATGAGGTGCATTTTTCCATCATCTGAAATTTGGCTGAAAATTAAGTTACGTGGAATAGCCTGGAATCATTATTGCTCTTTATGCTTCTTCCTCTACACCTTTTATTTATAGAGAGCAGCCATTCCCAAAATCAGGGTGCCAGATCTTCTTGCTCTACAACTCCCTGAAAAACTAGCCAGCACAACTGGTGGTGAGGGTGGTTATAACTTTATTAATGATGATTTAAAGGGGTAGTAGCAGAGCTTAAACCAAATAAGCCAAAGGAGGATATATTCTTTCATAGACAGGTAGGTAGATAGCTAAGCAGATAAATGGGCTGATAGGCAGACAGACAATTAAA